GCCCAAATAAAGGTATAAAATCATTATTGGCCTTGGTAAGCCCGAAATACTTGGAAAAGAGAAACAAAGATCCCCTCCACAGGGCACCACGAAGTAAGAGCTAAGTTTCTAACAAAACGGAAATACCGTAACATTAGTTCCCTGAGGCCGTTCTGGACAGACCCATCTTAGAAAGTGGACATGAGAAGGGGTTAGAGAATAGAAAGAAAATGAATGGGATAGAAAAAATGACTACAAATTTACTTGATCCAAGTACCGAGACGTAAAGTAGGGGAGTTTCTCAACATGGGGCCTCAGTACAGCAACAACAGTATGCACATATGCTGGAACCATACTTATATATGTGAGATTACTGTGGATAATCTGGGTTTTGCATTTGTGTGTACTTTCAGTCTGCTTTGAATCTCGATTTCTTTCTAGAATATACAATACTTAACCATCTGCATATCAGTATCGACCATTATCATATCAAAATGTTTATTATTCTACTGAATGAATTAGCAACCTCTTACCAGTAAAAACATTGTCATTGTATTTATATTCTTGGTAGATTTGCCCTTGCACTCTCAGATGCTTGTCACATTGCTCTTAATCTTCATTTCCCCTTTTAGTCAAAGCATTATATATGAAGATGAGTATGTTGCTGCTTTTGTACCCAATGTAATTATTGTTAGACTTGCTGATGTTATGGATTATATTAAATTTGTCAAAAGGTCTGTATGAAAAAAAATACATTTAGTAACAAGACTTATCATGTACTTCAGAATTTAACTTTGTAAAATAACACCTTACTTGGGAAACTAGAACAGGATGCAAGTTCTGATAAGTAATACTATTTAAGATTTCAGTTCCATTACTATTAAAATAAAACTATATCAAGCTCGGGACTGAAACCTTTTTAAATTATCTTTGTATTATAAAATTGCGTATTGATTCCAGATGTTTTTTAGGTATATAGTATATACACACACCAATTCTATTTGGTCAGACATATTTCATTCATAGATGACTTTAATGGCCATTCTTTTTTCTAAACTTTACTGCCTGAAACCTATACATGATGGATTCATATGCAGTTTGCTGAACTAAATGTTTTACATAGTATATGTAATTTATGAGAAAAACAATTTCTGGAGTCATTCAGACATTCAATAGGAATTTTGAAGTAAGGAAGGCTTAAATGAAAACCACTTTTTAAACTGTTCAGTGTAATTGTCTATTTGCTATTGAAATCACACAGTTCTACATGAGGGGTACACCATACTTGCCAAACATGCCCAATGAGCTGACCCTTGGAGGAGAGCTCAAGAGTTGCATATGACACCACAAACATTCCAAATGTGGCAAGGGAGGAGACAAAGGTGCCTGCAAGAGAGACCTAAGGCCCAGGTCCCTCAGGGGAATAAAATGCTTAGAAAAAAAAAAATCACCCAAGAGCTTCCTTTTTTTAATGATGGTAAAAAGTTGATTGTTTTGGAATTATTGCACCTATAGATGAAAGAGATTATAAGGCTAAGTTGCCTTTTGGTTACTGAGACAATTATGCCTCAATAGAAGATATTGAAATCATTTGTAAATCAGACTAGAGTATTGACGACCAATTGTGCAAAGTGCATACGAAGAAAAAAAAAAAATCAAAGGTGACTAGAATATTATCAATGGTTCTTTTTTTGTATTGTTTTTGGCGAATATAAATGCAAAGCAAAGTAATCAAGAATCAAAGGAACACAACAATGATGGGAAATCAACATGAACGACTAGCTAATACTTTGCTGCATTAGAAAAGAGCAATAGTAAAAATATTTGTAAGTATTTCTAAGTAGCATATCAATACAAAATGATTTGTTGCAGATAATTGTGTTAATAATACTAGGCCTCTAAACCTTTTCATAATCAATAAAATGTACAGATGTATTGAAACATTAAAATTGTTTGGCAGAACTGCTCTTCTCATTATAATTTAACTGATGCTACCTTGTAAAAATAATTTAAAAACTTGCACTGTCTGAGAAAATCTCTAAATTTTTTTGTACACATTCTATGTAAATGTTAATGACGCTGGAGATGATACCAGTAAAAAGTTGAAGGAAAAAGACACTTTGTAAGGTCATGAATTTTAAAACTGCTCTTGTTCATTACAAATATTCACTAACATAAAACAATTATTGTCCTGTAGAACCACTAAAAAATGGTAGGCTTTAGTTATAAATTGCACTATCACTGCACTTGCACAAAAAATTCTCCTCATGTTTGTACAATTAAGCAAAAGCCATTAATTAAAATAATTTAAGTAAACATGCCATTTGTTTAAGTACTGCGCCTGTAAAAGAACACTGGGAAGTTTCAAGCACTTTTTTTTTTTTTTTTTTTTTTTTTTTTTTTTTTTTTTAGTTGATACCTACAGCAAGCCATGTGTCCTTGACTATGAACTTCAATTAACAAGAGTGAATATTTTTGGTTTATTATTATTATTATTATTTTTTTTTTTTACAGCCTTTTGCTTTTACATAAAAGAATTCTTAGTGATTTGATGCAGCCCCAGGAGATGTAATGAAGTCATACAAGGCTTTGGATAATGTATAATAGAGCAACACAGAACAAGTGAATGGGGTTGGGAGGACTTAGGCTTTCTGAAGTGTGCAGGTACATCCAAAACTTAGATGGTGAACAGCAGTAAAAGCACTTACTCCTTATAAAACTTGGAAAGGCTTATTCACATTTGGTACTGCAATAAAAACAAATATAATGTTCTCTATAGATAATCATAATAAATAGATTGCAACAGACAATTCACAGTCACTGTTGTTTTAAGTAGATGACTAGACAGTTAAATTACACTGTGACCACAAAATATACATATATTACATATCAGATTGTTAATTGACCAGAAAATGGAAAATATAGTTTTTGTACACAATCTAAACATCATTTACAGGAAAATGTCCAACTGTCGAATTTAATTTTGATAATAACGAGGTAAAATACAAAATTAAAATCACATTTGTTTGCATTAATCAGATGAGTGTACCATTAACTATCCGTTGGACATATTCCCAAAATATACAAAAGTAACAAAAGTTCTGAACTCATTTGTTGTAAACAGCTATTGTGGTATGCATACTGTTTGGAATAATCATGTTTAAGTACATAGGAGTTAAACAGAGTACTAAATTAATCAAATACACCTTAGACTAGATAATAAATAAGAGAATAGCAACAGAAGTTACAAAGGAAACATTAATAAATAAGTGAAGTAAAATCACAAGCAGGTAAATAAGTAAGTACAAATATGCTTTGGTTTTAGTTCCTATAAGAAGTATTAGGGCCACTGCAATAAGACATGAGTTCTAACATCACATGGCAGAATCTCATAAATAATTTATCATACATAATCTATTAAATCTCAATACTTAATGCTATACAAATATTGCACCAAGTTATTTGCTGAGTATTCTTGGATAAGTATTTGTAGTTGAACAGGATTCTGTACTAGTTACCACTTATTCAACAGAAGCATTATCAATAAACAACAAATATTTAGCTTGTCATATTTTCAAAAATGCTTTTTTTTTGTATTCATAAAAATGAATTACATATTTCAATAATAATTTGCCCAAAAAACTTTTTCAACAGCACAAATTGCATTGAGCAATATTCCATGACTAGTTTGCATTTTCAATACATGACTAGTTTGTCTGGCACTACACTAGACTTCCTATTATGACTAGAACAAATATATCAACAATTATCTATTCAATTGCCTTTCAATATCATAACATACAGTAAATTATAAAGTTCTGTGTAAATGAATACTGCAAGGTTCACTTTTAATTCAGTACTGAACATCAGCAGTGTGACCAGTTAAATGTTGTAGGAAAATGCTGACTACCAGGTACGAAGATACACTAACCAGTCACATGAACTGTGTGAAGTGATCTTCTATTATTCAAAGCCATGGGTGAAAAATACTGAAGGCATCTGACATCAATTTAAACATTGTTATAAATGTTGTTTGTATCATGATAACTTTCTTTTTTGTTTTATTCTTTTTACTTTTCCCTTGACTGGTTTACAAACATCAGAGTCCATATGCAGAGAACTTAAAAAACAGTGTTACTATGCATGATGCACACTAGAAAAAAAAAATGTTATCACCCAAACTTTGAGGACTTCTATCCATATCATGCTTGGAATGGAATAACTTTTTTGGCAATTAATATATTGAAAGGTTAAAAAATATTGATGCATTTCTAAAAGGAGACCTCAAATGCATGAGTATTCTATCTATCAAGCACTTCAGTTTTCACATCCTCAAATGAATGTTGAGAACAAGCTTTTGTTTAAGAAGACGAATCTACCAACTGTGGAAACTTACCCATACAAAGAATTTGTATAGAATAGAAATAAGGTGGTGAGGACAAAGTGTTACTAACCAGAGCAATTTCTCATCAATGAGAAGCAAGTTACCACACTGACAAAAGCAAAGGCTCCCAATTTTTATAGTTTTCTCTCCTATTGTAGGTACAGTACAGCAGACTTTACAAAACCCTAATAATTTTGCACTTTCTGTCAAGTTACCAAATTAATGTGATATTTTGATTCCTCTTACTTCTTGTAAAATAAAGTATTCAGGAGTTAACAGACTTTGCCATAATGCTTTGTATATCAAGTTTTATATACATTTATCGTATATGAGGATATATAATTGATATAATTGTGAAAGCATTGTAATATACCCTCCTATACACTTTTTACAAGTTTATAAAACAGTTATCAATATTCTCAATAACATCTGACAAATTTCAAACCTCCAAATAAGAGATAACAAAAATAACACATGCATCTTATACCGAGAATTAATATTGCATTGATATGAGAATGTTGTAAGCTCTCAACCTAGCTGTGTCGCGGCTGGACTTGGGACTTCTTCTTCTTCTTCCCTTCTTCTTTTCGGCTGAAAAGTGTGTGACTGGAGCTTTGTTTCTTGATTACCTACTATAGGAGGGAGAACGCGTACGGCTCCAGGATCTGCTCCGAGTGCGGCTACGGCTGCGAGACCACCAAGATGATTCGGAAGAAGATGGGGAAGGGGGGGGAGTTGGCCGATGGTAGGGCACTGGTCGCTTCCTTGCGCTGTTTTGTTTGTTAGTAAGGTTAGTTGTGTTAGTGGTGTTAGTGGTTTTCTTAGCAATCATTCTTTTTGCAAATGCTCTAGAGGTGCCAAACTATATATATATATATTTTTTTCCTTTACTTTAATAATGTTAAAAACATTAGTAGCAGTTGAAGTAAAAAAGGAAATTGGAAAAACAACAGCAAAGTAAAAGCCATTCTTCCCAAGCCAATGTTAGTTGATGAAATCCAAGTTATAATGCTTATGAATGAATTAGGCTACACAGATAAAATATATATGATGATGCAGGGCCAGTCAAGACTAAAAGAAATCACTCTGGAATATGCTGTTAATTTTCTCATTACAATAGGCAAGCTGAGAAGCAGCGAGTCGAAGACAGGTATACTTAAGCTTAACATGACATTAAAAACACAGAGAAATATTACTTACCTCATATTCAGTGAATAATACATGTCACCATCAATCAATCAATACTGTTAAATAAAAATCATATAAAATAATAACTTTGCATCACAAGCAAACATGCAAAAAATAGGTCAACATAAAACAAAAGGGTCATAAACATAAGTGTGCTAAAAAGGTGCAATTTATGCAATTTGTGTGCTACAAAATAACATTTATGCATATACAGGAAAAAAAAGAAAATACTACATTAACAACAAAGTCTAAAAACAAAAACTGAAAACAAATTCTAAAAAAAAAAAGAGATATATAATAATAAAAGAAAAGAACAAGAACAACAAATTATTTACTCAAAAAATACTTAATCTGATTTCTGAATTCTTAAGTAGATATGGGAAATTAATGACAATTAAACCCCATTTTCTTGTGAATAAAAGAGCACAACTGAACAGTCTTTTAACCCATTCGCGCCGGGTAAAAATGAACAAAAAATGGGGGAAAATGCCGTGCTCAATTGTTATACTTTTCGTGAAATTTTTCTACACTAGATGGCTCTGCCTTACCTGATTTCATTTGGCGGGAAAATGTATTTTTACTATTACAGTGAATATCGATGGTTATTTCTATTATAAACATTATAATTACTATAATGTTAGTAACAGCAAAATAAGATAACGTATAATATTTTCGTAAATTAAAGAAAAGGGTAAACAGGCGAGACAGGCAGTACAAGTACAAGTGCAGCCATCTATGTTTGAAAACAATTAAACAAGTAAACTCACAGTGGGCCCGTCCCATATACGTGACACCCGGCGTGAATGGGTTAAGAAATTCCACTGAACAACATATTCAATTGTTTTAAACCAGTTCTATCTTCATTAACTCAAAACTTAACTAAAAAATGGTTTTATGTATTTTTTTTTTTTTGCCAAGTGATTCTTAATTCTTATCATGAGAGGACCACAAACAAGTGTCATTTTCTGAAAACACTCGTGGTGACTACTGTTTAATAATCAATTTCCTGAGGGAAGAAAAAATAATAAAAATACATCACAGACAAAAGAAAAGCAAAATGTGGGGGCTTTACTTTCTTAATGAGCATTAGTAATGTGAGAGAAGTTAATTGATGTACCAATAAGTATAATATTCAATTCCCTAAAGTCAAGAATGCTATAATTTAAAAGGGGGGAACATAAAAAACAATATTTGGAACTAGTTACTAAAAAGTATTCAAAACATAATATATCAAATATAACATAAAAATAATACACTGATACTAAAGTGGCAACTTGCAATCCTACAAAATATGAATTAAATAAAATAAGACAATACAATACAAAAATGGATGCATATACAAAGAGATGTGCAGTACTGTAACGGGCACATTTCCTTTTTTTAAAGATGAACAGAGGGAGAGACAAACATATAATTTTCTGGCATTAGGTACAGGCATCTTTTGTTCCATGTATTACTCACCTTGTTATCCTTCTCTTGTCAAGAAAGGAAGGCGATCCTCTCCTCCTTGGGATGGAGAGCGACCGTGAACGGGACCTGGTCCTCGTTCTGGATCTTGAGCGCGAGGCCGATCTACTGTAGTGGCCGTAGGATCGCGACCGAGACCGGGACCTACTTCTTCTTGATCTGGACCTCGAGCGAGACCTTGACCTTGTATACGAGCGAGATCTTGAGTGTGATCTCAGGGAACGGGATCTTGAACGGGAGTGTGATCTAGACCGGGAATGTGGAGAACGAGACCTACAAAGGATTGGATACTTAACTTTTTTTATGCATTACATATAGACAAACATACAGATTTATTTACCAATGAATGTGAAAATCCAAAGATTACAAATCACTTTGCACTTAATGCATCAGGCAAACAAACAACAAAAATGGGGGGGAGGGAGGTGAATTTTTTCTACCCCCCCTAGGTTAAATGAGTTTAATAGAACTGCTTTAGGCCCCACATCTCAAAGTTTTATGTCTTCAGTCTTGCTTCTCTTCCTCTATTTTTAAACCAATAAAAAAAAAAATCTTATACCCTAGACTGGTTTAACTGAATCTATGTGGTTTTGTATACATTTTTGTTTACTCAAAGAGTAAAAGTTTTTTTTTCACTATGATTTCTTATTGTATAAATGAAGTTGGACCAGGTCTTTATATGTAGAGCTATTTGTAGGCATTTGGAAATTTATTTCTTCTTTTTAGAATGATAATGGGTGAACAAAGGAAGGGTCACTGTTCTGTGTTAGAATTGATATATATGGTATCCCCAACTTTTTTTTTAATAAATCCCAAGGCTTTCAGCACAAATATTAATCCATCTAAGAAGCTTCCTCATTACCTTGGGGATCTCGAGCGAGAAGTAGGTGACCGTGAGCGTGGTGATGGTGAACGGGACCTTGACGAAGACGGAGATCGTGAGCTGCGAGTGCTACGTGAAGATGACCTCCCTCTGCTGGAGCTTCGGGAGTACCTGCTGTGGGTTGGTGAAGCTGCCGTCACCCCACTGGAAGTATTGTGATAATCCATTTTGTAGTATTTGTAATAATCAGATTAAGATTTATTACATCAGCACATTACACAATACTGGGAAGATGATTGGGGAGAAATTTGATTAATCTACCTGGTGTGAGGTGCTGGTGATTTGCTAGCAGAAGGTCTTCCTGTGTGCCGCCCATTTTGTGGAAGTCTGGGCAACTCCTGAGATCCAATGGCCCGGACGCCGACCAGTTCACCTGGTCTTCTCAGGACATCATTGGTTTCTAAGACTTTAGACACTGTCTGATTCTGATTCCATTTTGGGCTACTTTTATCTCCTAATCCCACTTTACTTGGACTACCTACTTTTGGCAAAGGTATTGACCCACAGGAAGGGCTTTCTCTAACATTCAATCTCTTTGGCGACTTGCTCACAGAACGGGACCCTGACCTCACCTTCTGTGGGTCTGTGCCTATCACATATCTCTGCGGTTCACGCTGTATGGGGGAATAGCTCAAGTCACGGCTGTTTGATCTCTCATTGCAATAGACCTCTGGCTTAGTGCCTTTTTCCGAGACCTCATGCTCTTGACTTGGATTAAGAACTTGCAAAGTTGCTGGCCCCTTTGGTGAGGCTTGCTTCTGATCTCCACTTGCGGTCCTACTTCTACTTCTACTTTTTCTTTTCGTCCTAGCTTGACCCTGATCACCCTCAGACAAGCCTGAGGTGCTACACACACTCTCCTTCTTTTTATCCCATTCCTTCTCTTTCTGGCCTTCTCTCCCCCTCGTTCCATCTCTAGGACTGTCTCTGGATGTCTGTTGGTTGGAAGGTTGGACATCTTGGTGTCGCGTAGAACGATGGTCTGGAGACGAGTCAACGTCTGAGCTGTGCTGCTTCTTGGAGCGAGATCGCTGAGCCTCTGGTGAGCTGAACAAGCATAGAAAATACCATCTCACATTACAGGACTTGACAGCATCTGTCAGCACTTTTGACATATAAAATACTTTTTTCAATAACTAGAAAGCAAGTAAATTCAAATGTGTGTATCTAGAGGAGTAAATAAAAAGGAAAAAAAGAGAGTACATCAAATCTTTATTCACTAATCCGTACAAAATCTAGAGAAATATTACAAATAAAAATAAAAAGAAAGAAAGAAAGAAAAAAAAAAAAATTGGAAAGAAAAATATGTATTTCCTTTCTAAAACTAATGATACAAAGAAAAAAATCTAAAGACTAAACTTAATTGGGTTCATAATAAACCACAGTCAAAGAAAAACATAAAATGCTAGTGTACAAAGCTCTCTTCTGGAAATTACCTTATTTCTTAGAGAGGAAATAAAACAATAATGTTCAGACAAAATCATACAACTACAAATAAATACAAAATCAGGTAAATTGGACAATGAAACAGAACATCAAAGTAGGCTATTACTTCCCTTTGTTGGCTGCTACTTAAATATGAGCAATTCATATAGAACAGAATGTGGTCAGTGCATGAATTTTTTTAAAAACATAAAAGATACTGAAATATCCCTCATCAACGCGGGTAGTAGCGCTGCAGAACCAGCAACCTCACCTCTCTGCGCGGTGGTGTGGTTTCTTGCGAGACTTCTCACGACTTCTGCTTCTCTGTGAAGAGTAGTGAGAACAGCAATTAGGGCCCTGAGGCATGAACCTGCATAAAGCTGACATCCAACACAGCCACTAGGGAATCTTTATGAGACGGGAAAGTGGAACTGCCATGACTGTCCCCATTCATTAAACAAGGTGACAATACTAAGGGTCAAAAGCAATGGAATTAAGGATGGAATGTTAGTGATAGGTTATTGTCAAGTTTCCAGCATCACAGCTCGTCATGAAGCTGTTTTGTTTACAAGGCTTGTCTCTGTGATAGGTCAAGGTGATGTTGCTGTGCTACTTATGTAATAAGTGGTCAGCTTTCCCATACATGTGATCATAAGTGACAGAATAATAAAACA